ATTGAATTCAGTAGGAATCGCACAGTGGATGCCCAAACTGTGATCTGCAAGCGGCAATGCCAATTCCAATTTCAGAATTTCTCGTTAGGCAGTGTCAGAGGGGAGGGAGTTCTTCGTCGAATCATCGTAACATGAGAGGAGACGTGGCTCCATCTCATTAAGGCGCGATGCTGTGAAACAGTGCGAAGACTGCAGGCAAAGCTGGCCGCAGCAAGCTGAGGCGGTGCGGTCACCGCAGAAGAATGTAACCGTTCTCACAGTCATCACGTTTATTCTGAAGATTACTTTTGTGAAAATATTAACGCTTTACGTAGCAGTAAAGCGTTTGTTTGCTCTTCGGTAAGGCTGAACTAAAAAGAGGAATTTAAAAAATTTTTCTTTTCAGAAGGGGTGAGACGAAGAACATTACCAGAATTTAATACTGGGGTACGTTCTTAATTCTTTTTGCATGAATTCCTAGCCATGCATATCCGTGACTTTTATTACTGTCGTTTTACGTCATGTCTGTGAACTGAAGATTCCGTCGAAGTTGTCGGATTTAATCTGAAACATTCGTGTCAGCACCATGTTCATAATTGCTGGCTTACAGAGAGCATTTCGTACGTAATGTATGGATATATGTGTAGTGTATAACCATAACGAAATTCAAATTCCTACCATTAATAGTTCGCTGGTTATCCCCGTCAGAGAGAGGACAAAAGAAAAATCCCATACATCCCCTATGTCGTTTTACACCCTACAGGAAAATTACTTTGTCTTTCGAAGACTTTTACCACATATTGTTTCATCATTATCATCAGTAATCTGTCAGACGACAGGTCCACAGTCTCTTCCAAAAGAGTTTCTCCACTTAATGCGATCTTCTGTTTTTGGAAAGAGACTATCCAGGAAAAGTGATAATGTGGTAGTTTTTCCATTTGCTTTCCACATCGCAGTTGTACTGCGACCCCCCTCCTTGGTGTCTCCACCTTATCGTGGTGAGGGGGTTTGAGTATGCCAAGGACCCTGAGAGCTATACCAGCGGCAGCGTAGCTACTGGCAGGGCCTCCCTTGCTGGACAGGTCAAAGGGTAGGCATCAGACGAAGAGAGACACCGAAAACTGATATCGGAAGCAGCGTCATCAGCAGCGACTTGAAGCACAGAGCAAATGATGCTCGAGATGGTTCAAGTTCGTATAGCAACATATTGTTTACGGACCCTAAATTATCACTCACACCCCACAAATTTGCCGTCGATGTCGTTACTGGGGTGGCTTCTCCTAGCATAACGTTCATATCAAGTGAAAAATGGTCAGCGGGTTCAGAAGTTCGAAGTGAGAGACATGCTTCCATTAAGAAAGGGAAAGTAAACTAAGGAAGTTTTTATATAAATGATCTCTTCTGAACTCATTTTATTCCTCACGTAAATTATCCTAAAACATGTGTTACACGACGTACGTATATACTCGAGCTCATTTTGTCATCATGAGTAAACATTTGTCACCAATGGAATACCAGATGAGCGTTTTATAGTATACCAGTTTTCTGAACACAACTTGGGATTGCATTGAACTTAGACTAAAGCAAAACAAACACCGTGGTTTTTAGTCCTCAAGCGAACTATACCGACCGAGCGACCGCCGCTTGTCGGCAAAGTTAGTGCCAACTTTAGCCGATAGAGGATGTCGCGTGGTCAGCGCAACGAATCCCCTCGGCCTTTAATTTCGGTCACAGAGGCGGTCAGTAAGCTTGAGTAGATAAACCGTCCTAGGAGAAGCAACTCAAGTTGCCTCGACCAAATCAAATAAGGACATTCTTGCCCTACATCCAGAAACAATCGAGAACATAGAGATTCTTTCCTTGCCGTGCAGTAAGGCAGACTGACGCGCATACAAATATATCTGATAACAGCATGGCAAGGGCATTCGCTCCATAGACTTGTGTAGGACACAAATGACCGAGACAGATTTTAGAAAAATAACGAAACAACAGAACTGAAAGAGTCCGAAGTTGAACTTCGTTTTTACGCCATGCCGTCAGAAGAGGAAGAGGACGAGATGTTGGCTGAGCATTCTTACCCCGAAAGAATTTGGGGTCGCAGGTAATTCACGAAGATTGGTCGATAGATGTCATCCCAGGTCACATCACAAAGAGGATAGGTAACCATTAGAAGGGCGACAGGTGGATAAGCGGGAAGGAAACAGGCTCTCTGAGCCAGAGTCGGAGAAATGAATGTGTCGATATAAACGGCACGCCACTGACCTCCATTTAGTGCCGAATTTAATGCGTGGAAAGCTTCTTCTCTAAAGGTTCGGCCACACAGAGCGCTACATACGCTATGTTCGCTATAGGAACGGAAAAATATCTCTCTTTATTGCCAATGTGACTGGCCACACAGACTTCCGTATGCTACGTACGCTATGTTCCCTATGTTAGCTGCGTGGCAGAGTGTACGTAGCGAACATAGCGTAGCGCTCTGTGTCGCCGACCCTTTACACATTCATTGTACGGTTCTTAGTCAAGTACAGGAGTAACATAGCAGTTGGCTTAGCATCATGCGGGGCGCGCTGTAGCGTGGTTGGTTGAGGCACTGTGCTGCAAGCCGGAAGGTCGCGGGTTCAGATCCCGCCGACGTCATTGGACTTTTCCATTGACTTAATCCTTTCAGCCGCGCTATGGCCCTGGGGTCGACTCAGTCAGAAATGAGTACCAGGAATCTTCCTGGGGGTGAAAGACAGCCGGCGCGTAAGGCTGATAGCCTTACCGCCGTCTGTGCTCCGATTGTCTAGGCAAACGTTGGAGCCTCGACGTCTCACAACCGTATGGGCCTCTACGGCAGGTTACAGGGATAACTTTACCTTACCATTTTTGTGGATGGTTATGTTACAGCAGTAAACTCCATTACTACAATCATAGAAAGCCAAGAAACGGTATTCTGAAGGAGTTATTAAGATACAAATGACGGTTCTTTATGATAGTGGTAGGGCACTCCATTCACCCTTAACCGTCTAATTTTCGTCTTCGAAAGAGGAACGAATCTCAATGAAGCTCTTCGTCATGCAGAATGAGTGTTAATTAATCTAAGCTGTCAGTCTAATTATCTCCAGGATTGTAAGAGGAGTAATTGCAAATTCCAGCGATTCGTGAAATTTTCCACAAGATGGGATTGCTATAGGACATATTGGGCCCTTGCTAAATGTAATTAGTTCCACTTGAATAAGGACGAGTCTTGTTGGGAGAAGGTATACGGCTCCTTGTAATATTGGATGGGTGAGGCGCTGTTATTTTCATTGTCATATGCTGCAGATGTGAGAATGTCTGCACAGTACTTACAGGCTGTATTTTTCAATATTAGTTGTTTTTTAGTTTCTTCGGTTGGGGTAAGACTGAGTCCACGTCGGCCACTAATTGGCCTATTGTACCGGCCCCGGATGATAGATGATGAATGTGGAGCAGTGGGTGGAATGAGAATTGGCAGGGGAAACCGAAGTAGTCTGAGAAAACTGCCCCAGTGCCACTTTGTCCACCACAAATCCCATATGACCTGACCTGTGCTTGAACCCGGGCCGCCGCGTTATGAAGCCAGTGACTGATCGCCTTCAATATAGTTTTTTTTTTTTTGAGAATCGTTCAGTGTTGATAGCGTTTGGAATCGAATCGGAACACGTGATTGGTAACAGAATTATGAAAATGTTTCTCAGATTCTTCAGTCGTGTTCTGTTCTGCTTGTGGGAAAAGTGGTCATTGGTTGTGTTGCATCATATCCCTCGTTTCGTCATTACTTTTTATTTGCTAGTTGACCTTGCACTGTAATGATTTCCGATGTGTGGAAAGCGAGCCTGCCGGCTATTGAAATGATAATGATAGTTATCACAAGTATTCTGCACTGCCGACTTACTAATGTGTTCAGTTTGGAACGTTTTAAAAAGCCACGTTGTATGAAGTTATTTGACGCTAGTTTATTTTAACCGACGCTTTCTTACACATGTAACACGCATGGTAGACACCCCCCCCCAATAGAAATGAGAAAATCGGAAGGGAAGACGCTACTTTGAATATCTGGGAATTAATAGAAAGATAATATTAAAAAGAATCACAGAGAAATAGGATGTGAATAAGTAGGGTAGGTCCATCTGGCCTAGGATAGGTTCCAGGTCTGTTGTGAATACGGCGATAAACTTGCCGGTTCCAAAAAAGAAAAATGGAATTTATTGACTTGCTTAGCGTCTGTTAGTTTTTGAATGAACGGAGTTTATTTTACCGTCTTGAGAAATGCGTAAAGTGTGGCGATTGAAATATTGCAGTTAAATTTTCTTCCTTGTATAACTGTAACTGGACATTGAGTGGTTTAATGACGAGATCTTGCTTTTTTTTCATAATGTTGTGAACACTCCATTGCCTTTAGTCCGCAAGCGAATTATACCTACCGATTGACCGCCGCTTGTCGGCATAGTTGGTGCCCAACTTTTGCGGATAGAGGGTGTCGCGTGGTCAGCGCAACGGTTCCCCACGGCCATTAATTTCGGCTTTCTAGACCGGAGCCGCTACTTTTCCATTCAGGTAGCTCCTCAATTATCCTCACGAGGCTGAGTGGACCCCGTTCCAGACCCACAACTTCAAAGAAAATCTTGTAGCGCCGGAAATCGAACCCGGGACCTCTGGATCTGTGGCCCAGCAAATGGAAATGTGTTGCCGCCTTCTGAAATGTCCTTGTGATATGCTTGGACACCCCCGTTATTGAGTCAGAGAAATATTAAGTAACTGATTGGTAGGTAAACCACCTACAGTACCCATCGTCTCTTAAGGTCAATTGATAATAGCAGCAAACTAATTAACTGATAGATCCACTGAAGTTTTCGATAAGACTAATATAACATTATAGTGCTCTTTGAAGAGGTGCCAAGTACGGCGAGTGTTTATATGCTTACCCCTCTGAGGGTAGAGCGTGCCCTCCCTCCATGATCCCACACCCAACTCATGGAGCATACTATGTCCTGGCTTAGTATTGTGTAAGTGTTGGGCACTGCTAGGTGCTAGCTTAGTACGTTTCGATATATGTATGTAACACTACAACTTACACAGTTAATGGCTCAGACGTGTTGTGGTGGAATTAATCTTAACTAACATGAACTTAAAATGTCGTTTTATAGCGTCACAGTCTCTGTACTAGGTACTAAGTAAAAATGAATATTCCAATAAGTCATATGATTTTTCTGTAATTCCAGTAGACCCACTTCGACAAGGTTATGTAGGGTGTGAATTCAGGTTACAACACTATCGAAGTTTGTATTCTGCTGGCTTCGTTTCTTCCAATATTTGTACAGATGTTACTTTCAAACATGGAGTGTGGTGTAGGGTATCTGTCAGTCATGTCTGTATTACTTTTTGTTTGTGTGTGTAATACTATAGATGTGCTGAAGTGCTTGAGGAAGTGTTTAGAATTCGACTGAAGAAGTGTGTTACTTTCGATATGGTGTTGGAATATTTCTTGTTGAAGTATTAAGTGACATCACCGAAATGGCGCTTGGAAATATGTTTCGCAGAAGAAAAAGCTGGACTCTTGAACCGGTATGTCTTCCTCTAATCCACATGTATGTAAACTTGGTTGAGTCTAACCTCCGCCTCTGTAACAGAACTCATGTTTGTGTTTAGTTCACATGCCGAATGCACCGACACTGTTTGTTTTGTAATCTCTACAACTATCAGTCCTAAGTTCTTGGACATGGATGTGTAGTTCGGCATAAGTTTGTACAAAATTCGGATGGTTCAGAGACGAGTTGGTGTAGAGAACACTTTGGCACTTCCGACTAATGGGATATAACACCGTTTCTCTTAGTGGGGGGTAGAGTCCAACTGGGTCCACTGGGCACGGCGGCCACTGATTGGCCTATTTTACCTGCCCCGGGTGATTATGATGATGGAGAATTTGGTGGAATGAAGATTGGCAGGGGACACCGAAGTGCTCGAAGAAAACCTGCCCTAGCACCACTTTGTCCACCACAAATCCCACTTGACTAGACCCGGGATCGAACCCGGGCCGCCGTGGTGGGAAGCCGGCGATTAAGCGCTTGAGCTATGGCGGGGACCATATAACACCGTTAGTCCGGTGGAGGAGAGCCGATATTTCGGAGGAACATACCCTCCATCTTGGGGTTGAAGAGTATGCCAGGAAAAAAACCAACATGAAGAAGACAGCTGCCGTATGTTATACAGTCTCACATCCCGGAACTTAAACAACTTTTTCTAGCCACCGCTTTGAGAATCTCACATACAGCCTTGGAACTGATCATATGTTTGATGTTATAGGCATATATTATAAACCTTTTATTATCTGTATTCGTATGAACCAAAGCCAGTGCATTTAGCGATTATGAAACCGATCATTAAGTTGAGATTGTCCCGAAATGACGTACATTTCGGGAAACACAAATTTAAAACGCTGTACTTTTTGTGTGTTTGTAGCCGTTGCTCAGCGCCCATTAAATCTGCTACATCCGCCTCTCTATCTATACACATTGAACTAGAAAACCGCTGAGTGGAGTTTATTGAAACTTGAAATTGGGGGGGGGGGGGTTGTCGACTATTCCAGATTTAGTTAAAATGGGACAAAGCTATACACTTGACATGAAGGCGAAACTGCGTGAATTTGGCTAAATGGATCTCGAAACGAAGAAATGTTTCTTAGAGATATACCTTTGCCTCAATTTTTACGGTTTTCGAAATAAATAAAAGTGACGCGGTGTGTACATATCCGAATTTGTATATCCAGGAATCAGTGCCCACCCCCGAACACATCACTCGGTCACCAAAGTCTCTTACTCATAATAATTAAACGTAAGCTTTCTCCCACCAGAATTTATAGATATTCTTGTATGTAAATATATATTTACTTAGAATGTGGTTGGTCATGCTACCGAAGTCTTATTTTCGATCACATGAGGGAGTCAGTAAATGGGTCATAAATTGATATGAAACGTAAAACATGTACCGACCGAGCGACCGCCGCTTGTCGGCGAAGTTAGTGCCAACTTTAGCGGATAGAGGGTGTCCCGTGGTCAGCGCAAGAATCCCCACGGTCGTTAATCTCGGTTTTCTAGACCGGAGCCTCTACTTTTCCATCCATGTAGCTCAATTATCCTCAAGAAGCTGAATGGACCCCGTTCCAGACCCACTATTTCTCAGAAAATTTGGTATCGCCGGGAATCGAACCCAGACCTCTGGATTTGTAACCAGGAACTCTGACCACTAGACCACAGAGGTGGTCCTTTACATATCCTTCACCAATATTAATACACTTGTCCCAGGAATTTTCCTGGGAGGTAAAGTGTGGCCGGCGCATAAGGCTGGCAAACTCACCGCTATATGTGAGCCGATTATTTAGAGAAAATGTGGAATCTCGACTTCTCACAACATTATGAGCCTTCACGGCGTGGTACAGAGTTAGAATTACCTTTACCATATTTGCATTTACCATCGCTACAGATGTGATTAATCTGACTTGATTGTGACGTATTTTGCAATCATTTGATTGGAATTCCAATACGTTGAAAAGAAAGAACACTTCATATTGGTCAAGTTCATTTTGTCTAGTATTACTAGTCTTAGTCCGGTCTAGAAAACCGCGATTAACGGCCGTGGGGATCCGTTACGTTGACCACGCGACACCCTCTATCCACAAAAGTTGACATTAACTTCTCCGACAAGCGGCGGTCGCTCGGTCGGTATAGTTCATTTGCAGACTACAGGCCACGGAGAGTCCACAACATCTTAATCGTCACAGCTTTAGGCGTTGTTGCTGTTCGATTGCATTCTTGGAATTTTTTCCACCAGAAATTTCAGAAAAATTTAATTATATATTTCAAGTGAGATTACTACCTATATGGTAGTTATTAAAGATGTAGTTGGACACACGACTTCTAGCATGATCTTCCATATATTCAACCCTTCATGCAATTTAATGCGGTTTGCTGAAGATTATAAACTATTCTAAAAGCCTTGTCCGCAGATGTAACGGGTATGTATTGATAAGATATTTTGTACATGACGTAGTCTATGTACTTGTGACGCATGTCACAAGCAAAAATACATCGAATACTATGTAGACCATCACGTAAGGAAAGGCCACATAGGCCGGACTCATATCGATCTATCGATTGAGCGATCCACCAGCCGACCAGTATATGAGATGCCAGTTTCTGCAACTGTTGTGATATTGTTAATCGACTGAATTAGGTCGTGTTTTTGCTTGTTGTTAGCAAATGTTTTCATTTTCACTTTTTTTATTGCATCAACATACACAAGAAAAGGTTAATGTAATTTGAAAGAAACCTGCTATATTTATGCGCCCGAAAGTGTGCTAATAAGATTATTGACTGTATCTCCAGTTTATCACGTTTGTATCAATTACGAATAGCCGACTGAATTGTTAGACGAGTTTCGCAACTGGGTGTCATTTAACGTCCATATACCGCTTCTACTCGTATTTTGAACCACGTAACGAATTTTAATCCAATTTGTCATTATAGACAACCCCAATTTTGTAGGATCCATATTGTCTACCAGCTGGATGTGCATACTTCAGAGATTGGTACGATGCTGACAACCAATGCTAGCGTAGGACCCAGGAAGTTTGTGTGGGAATGGATCTCCGAAAGATATTATACTTCTGTCACGTTCATTATTTCTTATAAATGTAAAATATCTGAAGAAAATTTCTTATATTTTTCTTCCTACCCTAAAGATGGAGGCGATACGTTCCTCCGAAACGTCGGTTAACACCACATATACACGGTACCAAATCCCAGAATACTGCTTTCTTCATAGTCACCGCCGTGAAAGCCTCAAATCTTGTAAAATATCTGTTTGGTGGCCATTCGAAATCTGTATTTAGCAGTCCATTTGATGATATTTAGCGAACACAACTTGTAGGCACAAGAAATGTTTTATGTAAATAGATCCTACACTTTACCGCCTCTGTGGTCTAGTGGTCAGAGTTCCTGGATACAGATCCGGAGATCCCAGGTTCCATTCCCCGCGCTACCAGATTTTCTGAGAAGTAGTGGGTCTGAAACGGGGTCCACTGAGCCTCGTGAGGATAATTGAGTAGATATTTCAAGGAAATAGCGGCTCCGGTCTAGAAAACCGAGATTAACGACCGTTGGGATTCGTTGCGCTGACCGCGCGACACCCTCTATACTCTAAAGTTGGCACTAACTTCGCCGACAAGCGGCGGTCGCTCGGTCGGTATAGTTCGCTTGGGGACTAAAGCACGGAGTTTGTTTGTTTGATCCTACATGTTTATAGAAAACGTGCACTGAACATGTTATAATTATTAAAAATTACAAACATGACCGTACAGAACACTGATGTGTTGGATACATTTTTCTTATTTTACGCTTTCGCGGTGGTTTATCTCTTAGGTCTGTACGCTGTAAAGGTTCGGCCACACAGAGCGCTACGCTATGTTCGCTACGTACGCTACGTACTCTGTGTACACTGTGCGACGCAGCTAACATAGGGAACATGGCGTACGGAAGTCTATGTGGCCAGTCACGTTGGCAATAAAGGGAGATATTTTTCTTTTCGTATAGCGAACATACGTGTATCATACATAGCGTGCGTCGCGTACGTAGCGCTCTGTGTGGCCGAACCTTAAAGGCTCAAGAGCTTAATGGAAATCACATTTAGCGTAGTTTTAGTGTTTACTAGCGTGAATTGAGTATAGGCTAGCTTAAATGGCTGCGGAATTATACATCTATTAATCGCATGCTTGCTAATCTCGTAGTATATTGAGTAACAGGACTGCAACGCAAAAACGAAGAATTTATATGATGTTTATTTAAAGTTTAGTACTGTGTATATGAATGCATGTATACAAGCTACGAACGTAAAGTAACTTAGCTTCCAAATAGTGACATAAAAGATTTTAATTGTGAACATATTGTTGCAAGTATGCATTTTATTGAAGCATTTGAAGGAAAGCAGGCGTCGTTGAGTTTTTCATAGAACTTTGGTTCTCGCAAGATATACGTAGAAAATTATGTGAAATTCCTGTAAAACTACTGATACACGAGAGCAACTCAAGGTTTCTGCCCACTTTTATGTCTGAGACTAGCCGAAATTGTAGGCGCGTTGAATTTAAGTTCCGGAGTAGTGGCAGCACTGGCAACGTGCGTCAGTTATGGCGTCACTGTAGCACTGACTGTTGTTATAACCAAGATTAAGTTTGGCAGTTTGCCCGTTTGTTATCAAGATTGTGGTTGAAGAAAACAAAGCAAAATCATATTTAAAGAACCCCCATCCAGCATCGTTATTCTTGAATGCAAAGTCAATTCCCAGTTTTACATTGGCTTTTCATGCGGTGAACTGAGGCAGACTATACATAAGTATGAGGCGGATATGCAAAATTTTTCATTGTTTGTGTAACAGTTCTCCTCATTCAGCCAGTGTGATCATCTGATTATCATAAATGGATGGAGAATCCATGGCATTAAAGGTAAAAGGATAAAGTTGTCCCTGTGCTTAATTAACCGCTACGTGTATGGGGGAGTGAAGGTATATTCTCATCT